ACAGGGACTTCCACAAAGAAACGCTTTACATTTGACGGGGTCTGACGCTGCAGCAACGGTCCACCTTTAAGCACAACGCTGAGCAACAACAAGTCTTTGGGACAAATATCACACCATTTGTCAGTGGACTAACAAACATCTAGCCCCACAAAAAAGCTGTGGAGAGGCCTGAAGGTGGCAGGACAGACACCTTCCCTCTGACCTGACAGCTCGACACATTCTGCAAGAAAACTGTGACAAACTGCCCAAAGACTCATCCAAGACACCTCAACTGCTGTTAAAGCCGCATTTACAAAACAATAAAGATTTAAGGTGTTTAGTACATTCGGAAAAGCTTGTAGATGAATCAGCAAAAATCTAACTTTGTAAATGTGGTCTGAACACTTTCTGAAACGACTCCAGCAGGTAAACACAAAGACACACGAGTCAACACTTTTTAAATTATTTCTTTATTTATATATATTTATTTATTCATCTCAGTTTGGTTGATATTCTTTTTAATCGTTGTTGCACTTTAGTATTTTTGTACTCAACAGAAATGAACATAAAAACAACAACAACAAAAAAAAAAAAAAGAGAGAGAGACAGAAATAAAAATGAACCAATAGAAAACAAAATAAACCTAAGAAACAGGAGTGGAGCAGAGAGCCGGCTTGCTGGGATGGAGAGAAAAGACAGAAGTCGGGGGGATGGAAGAGTTAAGACAGAAAAAAAAAGAGGGAGGAATCGAGGGGTCGATCTGATCAGGCAGAAGATGTGTGAGGCAGCTCTCTCTGTTACTTCAGAATCATGTGCAGTGCTTTCCATTCCCTTCAGACGTCCCTTCTTGCGTCTACCTGCTCCCCCCCTCCACACTGAGATCTGAAACAAGGACTCTGGTACTGGTCAACAGACTATGAGGCGTCCAGCGTCTTCCATTCCAATCACGTCTCTCCCCTTTACCTGACAAGTCCTCGATCATTTCTCTTTCAGCTCTTGGTTTTGGCTTGGTGTAAACAATGAGGAAAAAACGAAACAAAAGCAGGACAGACGCGAAAGAGGAACGACTGAGAACCGGAGGGAGCAACGAGTTGGAATGGAAGAGAGCGTCTTCTGCCCGAAGAGACGTTCAGTTGAGTTTGGGATGGAGCAGATCCAAACCTCAACGCCACCATCTATCTACCCCCCGCATGAACTTTTAGAGATTCCAATTTACTGCAAAACAAATCTCACCACAATGAGTCTGAACGAGAGCGAAGGTTGGTAAACGGGATGTGACATGCTGCAGATGGAAAGCACAAGTGCTGCATGACACCATCTACAGCTCCCAGGTGTGTATAGCGTACAGTATGCCGACCGTGCATCCAGGTGTCGTGACGTCTGACCTGTATGAACACACGCAAGTGGAGCTTGATTCGTTGCACCGCAGTCTCTTGCTGGCCCGTTATTGATTCAATATCCAGGAGTATTGTATATGGGAGGATAGATAGAGGTCGAACAATAAACTAAATGAACAAACCAGGAAGAAAACGGGAGGTCCGGTGCTCTCTGTGGTCACCGGTGTGCTGTAGCCCGGCTGTGCTGTGTGACTCAGCACAGGGCACACACCTTGGGAGACATGTTTAAGACGGGCACCAAGCTGCCCTGCTCTCACCACAACCTTGTATTCCTTTGTTGTTGAAGGATCCATTCCTATGGCCACCTCCTGAAATGTTTCCCTTTTACAGTTTGGAGGTGTGTCCAGGTGTATCCGACTACGACGGGATCCTTTAGCTGTTCACCTCCTCGCGTCTTCCATCCCGGGCTTAAACGAAACGAGAGAATAAAACCAAAAGAAGGGAGAGGGGGTAGCTGAAGGTGTAGATTCCTCCTTGGTTGTCATTGGATAGCTTGAGAGGAGGAGGAGGGGGGGCCATGTCCGTAAGGCGCCATCAGATCAGAAGCCGATGTAGTAAAAGACGGTGGGAGGATCACAGCAGACAGGTAGGGCAGCAAAGGGCAGAAAGAGAAGTGGGTTTGTCCGTCTCCACACTTGTGATGTTTAGGATGATATGTCAGCTATTTTACAAGTTATTCCCTCGTTTTTTGTCTTTTTTTTTTTGTTTGTTTGTTT